GCTAAAGTTAACAGTGTACAAAATCTTTTAGTGAATATACTTTTTGGAAGTCCTGGGTATTTTGTAGAATTTTTTCGCAGACGTAATTTGGCCCTGGAACTTACCCAGCTTTAACAGAATATTTGGGGACTTAATAAATAAATCTAAGCTAAGCTTAAGGAATATTGACTTAGTAACTATTGATTCATTCGACTGTACTATTTTATATCCAAAAATTAACAATATATGCGTATTTGCAGGCCGCTGAAAGACTTTGATTTTATTTTATTTACAGAGTCAATTTGTTTGCACAGGAAGTAAACTAAAAACCTCTTGCTATTTACAGACGAAGCCTCAACTGTTTACATAGCAAGTAAAAATGGTAAATTTAAAGCCTCGAAATGTTTACAACATTACTAAAAGAAAAATTGATAAAACGAAGTAAATTAGATGCAGTTGCAGATAGAAGTTCAGCTTTTGTTGATGATCCCGTTTCTTTAATCCCCCCCCCGCACACTAAGGAAAAAAACATTGCGAAAAGACACTAAAAAAAAAAAAAGTCTTCAAAACAATTTTACGGACCTTTGAAATGATGCTTCGATAAAACAGAATAAAAAGAATCAAATGGTGTATCAAGGATATCTTAAAATGGCAACTGTAAATATTTTTATTAAACAATCGTTTAAAAGTAATTTTCGCAAAAAGTAGCGGATCATTTCGTTATACGATACCTCGTGACAAACAATTTTCTTTAGAAAGATATGCATCAACTTGATACTTCTAGTTAGAAATCCTAATTTTGTTATCAGGTCATTTCAAATAGGGTAAAATTTTTCTAAGCATAAGAAACTGAAACCTATATCTCATGCTAGTTATTTAAATAAATAAAGGAAGAAATACAATGAGGATGTCTCTAAAAACCTTTCTAATGACAACACTTACTTTGAAAATAAGAACAAGATATTTAGTTTAGCGGTAAGTTAACTTCACTTAATAATTATTAGGTGAAGTTAGCATATATATATATATATGTTTTCCCTCAAAGAAAATCTTTGACACTTATTGAACTATAATGGAAAAGATCCAGTGTATCCTTTTTTTTAAACCAAAGACATGATGAAAAAGTGCAATAATAAAGGCATTTTTAAAAAAGCTTTATATACTGCTTTAAAGGAGATTTATGAGGAAAGTGTTCATAATAAAACTACATATTTAAACGTAATGTATAAACAATTCAAAATTTACAGCTAGGTCCCACCAGTGGCCAAGTGATTAAAGACTGCTGGATGCTGGTGATTCCTCCTGGGTTCGAACCCGATGAATGTGCTGCTGCATGGTTGGTTTTCCCTATGTGCAACATAAATACGAGGCAGTTTTCCTTGGAAAGTTCGTCACAAAGGCATCCTTCCCCTTAGACAGACAGCCCTCGTGTGCTTTGCTGTATTCAAATAATCTAACCTAAACTAAACCAAAATTTACAGCTATATGCGGTTAGCAACTGAGCTTTCAGCATGACAATGATCCAAATTATCCAGACATTCTGCTAGGGAAACAAAAAGGTACTCTTCTGTTATCGGGAGCTGATTCAGAAATATATGTATGTATATGTATACACACATACATACATATATAATACATGCATACATGTACACATACAGGTCCACCAGCGCCCGAACGGTAAAGTGGCTGAACACTGGTCGTTCGGTCCGAGATTCGAATACAGCGAACAGGCTGGCTACATGGGCGCTTTCGTTTTTTTACCTATGTGTAACGTGTTTACGAGCCAGTTTCCCTTAGAAAGTTCTCCACGAAGGCATCCCTTCCTTTAGGCAGATAGCCCTCGAGGCCTTTGCCGTAAACAAACATGTACTATATAACATGTATACATACATACATTTTTCAATCCGGTTCCGATAACGGAAGAATACCAACTAAAGAATAATTTTTCAGCACTGTTCGACATCATTTCGAAACGCCAAAACATCATTTCGAAAGCTGTTGTGTGTGTGGGGAATGTTGCACTAAAAGCATCTCTAAATAATTGCAAGATTTCTAATACGAATATGTTAGAGATATAGTCTATTAAGAGTGGAGTAAAGTAAACTCATATTTAACTTAAAAAAAAAAAAATTATTGAATAATAAACGGGAAACAATCATAAATTATAAAGCGTTTGCAACTCTATATGAATTTCTGTTCCAAAATTAAAACTACGTGTTATTTGGTGCCGGCTGTTCACGTTTTCTGCGACTAGAAGCCTATTTTTATTTTTAGTTATATCTTTTAGTAATTTTTTCATGAATTGGAATAAAATGAATGCATTTAAAATATTTATTACTGTTAGAACGGCTTGATATTTTGCAGAATTCTGCATGTGCATATCTATTCATTATTTGACAACAATTTAAGAACGTGATGTTATTTGAATATGGCAAAGCCACGAGGGCATTTGGCTAAAAGTTATGATGCCTTCGCCGATGACTTTCTGAAAGAAACTGGCCTGTATTCATGTTACGCGTGGGGAAAACGACGAAAACCAACCATGCAGCTAGCTTTTTCGCCTGTTATCGAATTTATAGCAGGTTGAGCTGCCAGTATCCAGCTGTTTTAACCGCTGGGGACGCGCGGTTAAGAACTTGAAGTACGTATGTAAAAATGTATTGTGTACGCAACTTCAGTTATTAGTTACGTTTTGCAGATGACTTGGTCTAAGCCGTTCCATATTTGCTTCTTTCCTTCTAAAGCAGCATGCAGTGAGAGTGAGTATCTATAAAAAGTGAGTATCTACAAAACAACAAAGAAAAAAATTTTTCGCGACAAAGTATCTGTGTGAAATATCTGTATCCAGTTTCTGACATTGCTGAAAGTTTTCTCTTTTATCTCAGCTGTTTCATGTTTAAAACCACGTGTGGTAAACAGCTAAGGATATGTGGAGGAGGGAGGGGTAACTGAAAATGAATCTTTCTGAGGAGCAACATTTGCCTTTGAACTCGCGATTATCCATTATGAACACGAGAAATGAAACTTCCCTCCCTCCTCTGCGAATTTATTTGTATAATTTCTTTTCCTTTCTTTTTTTAAGCGAATGGTTTCATAAGCAATATATTTTCAAATTTTTAAGTTTTGTTTCATATGGAGTTTTAATGCTTAGGGAACATTTTGAAACTAAAGCTATAGATTAACAAAAAGACCACCTAAAATTAATGACAGCTGAGTGATAATAGACTGATCTTACCTACATGTAATATAAATACAAGCCAGTTCTCTTAGAAAATTTTTCACTAAGGCATCTGTAAAGAGTCTTCGTATTTTTGGCCTGTTTAAATGAAAAAACAAAGAGCTCCTCGCGTGCTATGCCATACATAGGTAGGTTATATCAAAAAAATAACCGAACCAACTTCGTGAATTTCTTTAGATTAGATTACTTTTAATTAATCATTGCAAAGCACTGGAGTGCTAACTGCAGTATTAATAACTGCAGTTAGCACTCCCGTGCTGACTGCAGTTATTAATCTTAACTGTAGTAACTAATATTGCTGTGGATAAATTGATTTCTTTTTATTGTAAGTAAAACCATTAAGGCATTCCGTCACCGTGAATTCTTTGCCCATTTAATCGAATACGGCAAATCACGCGGCAACTATCTAAGGGGAGGGTTGCATTCCTGAAAGATTCTCTGAGGGGGTAAAAGATCTTTCAGAAAAGCATACTGTTGATCAATGGAAGACAGCTTATTTAATCAAATATTGCGCGGCACTCCAGGTCTATCCTAAAATGCAAAGGAAATGTGGAGGATTTTCTGAGGACTGTTGGCTTCTAATTTTATGTACTCATGGGGGGGGGGAATCACGAAAATGCTCATGTAGTAACCCATTCGCCAGGATTTGAACCTGGGTCAAATTAGTTTTGGTCAGGGATTTTATTTATTCGGCAAATGAAGGGGGCGAAGGCTGGTTCTGAAGGTCGATGAAGAGGCAGAGCTAAATCACGTTTTAAAAATAAGGACTGTTGAATTTGTTGAAATGCTGTGGTAGTCACGACGCATTTCTGATAAAAAGGGTTTCGGAACATTCGGAATCGGTCTGTAGATCTAGAGGATATTCCGGTTGTGGTATTTAGAGAATATTCCGGCTTTTCTTTCAACAGTAAGCAATTTTTGGTTGTTGAACCTTTTCCTCTATACAGGACATCATCATGAGGCAGGTGAATATTTACGCGTCAGTGGATGTCTGTGCTCAAATTTCAAGCCGACATTCTGAAGCTATTTAGTAATAGGCTGTTTGATTAGGTTTGTTAATTATGACAAAGTTCAAGAGCGTTGCTTGGAAACAGAAAATGCTTTATGAAGAAATTTGTAGAGAAGATAGGTTCTTATTTTCCTTATATATAGGGAAAACTACAAATGTCAATGCAGCTAGTTAATTTAGCCGCTGACTATAGAAACCTGGGCCGACCTACCACTTCTTTTCCTGATCCTAATTTATGGTGATAGTGTAAGGTGACCAGACGTCACGCTTTCAGCGCGACAGTCCCGATTTATAACAATTTGTCCCGCGACGTTTTAAAAATGTCTCGATTCTTGGAAATAATGCACGACAAGCTACGGATTGGCAGGAGAATACGGTTTTCGGCGGCCATGTGGCTACTTCGCCAGGATATGAGTCTTATATTATATTATTTTTGTTAAAATTTTATAACGTTAAATTTTAATAATAACAAATAATTGTTGCTAATTGATGATCGACAACTGCTTATCAGAGTTCGCATTCTTGATCAATGGTTAGAATTCAATCACCATTGTTTGGACTTATTGGCATTTTTTGGCATTGGCATTGACGAAAACATTTTGTAACTGTCTCTCAGACGATACACATCGTACTGCGTGATAGGACTAGTTAAACAAGTGATGTCAAAATATCAGCTATTCAGATAATTTAGATACGTAATTTATTTATTTCATAAACGCATAAATTTTCTTGAATTTAGCAGACAGTATTCTCATTATTTATATTTTATAGTGGCGGAAAAAGGTCTAGCGTCGGCCTTGAAATTGAAGCTTACAACTTACGTTACGGCAAATTCAGAGGGAAAATAATACAAGTTAGTATTGTTATTACTTAAAAAGAAATTTAGGATTAAAATTTAAATAATTTAAAAAATATCGTTACTTTATAACAAACAAATTAATTTATTTTTTAAACTATTAATAAAATATGTTCATGTAATTATATGCCTACTTATTGTGTTTTTAAGGCAATATATATAGATAAAAATTTATAATATAGTTTATAAATTTATAATAAATTACTTCTTTAGATTTTTAACATAATGAGTAAGAACAGAAGAAGCAAATTCAAAGGTGATCTATGAAGTGAATTTCTTTTGTTAAAAAAAACCAAAAGCACACACATGGTAAAATGTGAGAAATGTAATGGTGAATTTTCTATTTCCCCCGGCTGGAAAAATGATATTTCAAAGCACTCGGGGACAAAGGATATTTAAATACTACTGCATCTTCCTCCAAAATGCAGGAATTCTTTGAAAAACAATTTATGGAGACGAAGAAAAGAAATTAGCATTAGCAGAAGGACTTGTGTCTTTTCATGCTAATAATCACAAACATTCCTTAAGGTCTTGTATATCACAAGTTGTCCAAAAGTTATTCAACAAAAAACGACAGCAATCTACCAAAAGAATTCACTCAAATGCGAAATATGCCAAAAAATAAAATAATACTATATGTAATTTTTTAATGTAATATATTTGTAAATTGTACTTATGTTGAAGTTTAAAAAAGTATATTACAATACTATTTTTTCGTTTTATGAAAATTTGTTGTGCTCCATATAAACCAAATTTTTAATCAAGAATTTCCTCCCCCCCCCGGGTATAGTGTCCCGCTTTATCAATGTTAAAATCTGGTCACCTTATGATAGTGCTATTTTAGGAAAATGCTTTAAATAGCTTACCAAATATTCAGCACCACCTTTTACAAGTATAATTAAAACTACGTCCAATTCTGGGTTGGCCTTATTTAATTTTGGTTTAGAAGATGAGGGCTACCTGTCATGAACTATAACATTACCTTTGTTCATCCGTTGGCATTTTCCTATTAGCATTCCGAAGAGGAACTACTTTTCATCCTCAAATGATTAGAATTCAGCCGCTTGCGACTGTGTTATTACAGAAAGTCCATATGTAAAATATATACAGTACGGATCCTATACCGTAGGATGCCCACGTGCAAATTAAAAACTGGCCCCCCTTTTTTTTGGCAGAAATATATTTGATGATCATTTCGCCTCCCTTAAATTTTGCCGCCCACGTGCCATGCACCATCTTGCCCCTCGCTGGGACCGGCTCTGAATATATATATATTATGATATGTGTTTATGTATGTATATTATAAAAGAAAGCAAAAAATTCGAATTTAACTTGGAAATGTATAACAGAAATACCAACCCCTTCTCCTGCGAATATTCTTTCTAAAAGCGTTAATATCCTCGAGTATTTTGCCAAGAGTAAATTATTGTCACACTTTTATCTGCTTCTTTGAAATTTATTTCATATAAAGAGACGATAGGAGGCACGAAAATATGAGACTAAACATGTCGAGAACTGTTACTCCAAATTTGTTTACGTCTTGGATTAAACGACTGCGCGACGAGAGATTTTTTCCTGTGTGAACTTCAGCTTCTGGTCCTTAAAAATTAACTGACGTCATTATTTTTATATGTGCTTAAAGCGAAAAAGGTCTCAGCGTTTTTATTATTACCTAATACATGGATTGAAACTGTTAAATATGTTGTTCCCAAAATATTTCATACAATTCTAGATGTGTTTTGTTACTTATTAATTTGCTTGCGATTAGTATCATTCCACCTAATTATTCGCTTTGAATAACGTGATAAAAAAAAGTCAAATTCTTAATCTGTGAACGAAATATTTATTTTGTGATGGGTATTAAAGTGTAAAAAAACATTTTACGTCTTCTTACCTGGACTCTTCTAGCATGATCACTCATTTTAATCATAGCAACCATATTACTTCAACGTATAATGCCTTCATAAATCAGCCTACCAGCGGCCGAGCGGTAAAGTCGCTGAACACTGGTAGTTCGGTCCGAGGTTCGAATCCCGCGAACGGGCTGGCTGCATGGGTGTTTTCGTGGTTTTCCCCATGTGTAACGTGTATACGAGCCAGTTTCCCTTGGAAAGTCCTCCACGAAGGCATCCCTCCCCTTAGGCAGATAGCCCTCGAGGCTTTGCCGTAATTAAATAACCTAACCTTCATAAATCAAGATAATTTTGAACATCACTGAAAGATAAAACTTGCATTTGAGACTTCTTTCTGAAATAGTAATAACATAAAAAAACTATATATTTCCATCTAGTTTCTTTATTCATGATCTTTATGAAGAACATTCCAGTTAGTAAGTTTTTTCTTGGGAGGGACTGCGCTGTAATGTGCAAAACTGGCCCTGAAAAAAATTATTCAAATTATGACCGGAACCGTTCTCACCTGAATAATAAAATAAAAAGGGGTGATAAGCATCCACTTCAGGTGCCCACAAAGATTAAATTTCATTAGACACGAAATGCTGAATTTTATCCTTCCTACAAGTAGTAATTTGAAACCAAAGCTTTTAAATTTATTGTTTGGTTTATTTGATTATGGCAAAACACTAGAGGGCTGCTTGCCTAAGGGAAGAGATGTCTTCGTGGAGGACTTCCTAAGGGAAACTGACTCGTTTCACATTACATATGAGGAAAAACCACGAAAATGCCCATGCAGCCAGGCCGTTCAGAGATTCGAATCCCGGACTGAAATACCAGTATTCACCTACTTTACCACTCAACTGCCGGTGGACCAATTCATTGTTTATTAATTAGTCTTCCAGAAATTCGCAATGAAAATCTTATCATACTCATCTTTAGAAATATTTGTGCACGCGTTATTAATTTCATTTAATCATTCTTTAATCAAATTTCATCCTATGAGGAATCCAATGCAGCTTTGGGAAACATTTTCTTTGCTAACGCATCCTTTTTACGAACCCCGAATAAAAATTTGCACCACTTATTGACCCAAAGTAGTGTATCCTTAAAATCTATCGTATTTTCATTACTTCTTAAACTGAAAAGATAAACGTAAGGCTAACAGTTAAACATATACTTAGAGCGCATCCCCCCGTTTAAGAGGGATCTGTAGTTTTTTAAACATTTTGTACGTTATAATGTGACTCCATAAATACTATGTGTACTTTAATAACATTCATTAAAAACAAAACATGAAAAATACGTGTGCGACATTTCAATTCCAGAAGTAACCATATAAGTCGTCTGTGACATAAATGTATCAAAATCATGTGAGTATCCCTGTTTAAGCTCGTCTGAATAAATATGTCTATAAATTTCAAGCTAATAAAAACGGGTAATGTTGTGCAAACTTCGACGAAGTAGGCGAATGAATATTTAGAGAGGTATATTAATATGAAATTTTGCATGAAGAGAGGAAGAAGCGTTAGCGAAACGTTAAAGTTGTTAAACTTGGCCATGGTGAAGATGTGAAAATGTAGAGTGTTCGAGTGGCATGCGAGCTTACGAATAATCCGAGAAGTGGGCAGTCAAAACAGCTTTGAAGGACGTTAGTATTAACAGAATGCGAAATGTGATAGCGTCTAGTAAACGAAAAAGTGGGAAATTTGCAGCCAAAGAATTCCAAATCAATGAAGAAAGAGTCGAACCAGTTTTAATGAGGAACTGGGCATGAGAAATTGAGCGTTACTCACTGTCACAGTGCGCTTCTTATTAGAAACTTTCTGACCATAAAAGGAGTTACTCAAATTGAACATCCTGCCTATTCATCCGACTTAACCCCCTGCGGTTTATAGCTCATCTCAAGATTAAAAACTGTCTTGATGGAACGATTTTCTAAAACCGGTATCGCATCAGCAAGCTACCCTCAATAGCGCGTCGGAAAAAACATTTCCCTTAAAATTTACTTTCGGAATATCTGATTGGGTGTTGACTTATGCGAAAACCAGTTCTTTGGAGAAACAGTACGCAGAACAGTGCTTCAAACGAAACTTTTTTAGTTCAATTTATAAATGTTCCGCGTAGCCAGGCGGGATACAGCTTTCAACGAAACATGTTTCGGCTAGGAATTCTCCAATAATATAATAGACGACGGACAAACTCTTTTCTCGGAAAAGTCTCTTCTACCCTCAGGCGAAGATAAATTTTAGCGGCCTGATTACAGATGGTAACTCTGACCAGATCTCTGAATAAATATACGTAGGGAGTACTTACGTAAAAGCAACGGCTAGCATACGTACCCTTTTAAAGATGCAGTCTGGGAACTAAATTATCACACCTTATTTACCAAACAATGATCTGTACCTCATATCTTCTGCTCAAATACAGAAATCGATTATTTGTCGAAATATTCTTTTATATTATAAACAGTTCTGTAGTGTAAGCTCAATAATAAGATCTTTGAAAAGTTAAGGGAAAAAATAATAATAAAGGTTAATTTACTGTATAGTTTTACATTAAGTCCTGAACTCAAGGTCGTAAGCATTTTAGTTAAACAGTTTTAACGGAGAAGGGAGAGTTGATGTTTTCGTAAATCGCAGAAACTCGGGTCTGAATTTAAGGGATAAAATTTTTCTTTTGCCTCTTGTGTCTACTCATCCGCCTAGTGGTCTTTATTTGCAAAAGTGGATAATAGGATTATTCTGGAGAATGAGTTTCTATCCCATCTTCCAACAGTGAGGTTTAGACGAGAGATCACTTTCCCTCTGGTTCTGGCTAACGTAATTCTTGACATTACGTTACAGTCTTAGGGTTTGCGCAGCTGGCCTCTATTTTTCCAATGAAGTGCCCCTGCTGTGTCACCCACTGACATTTGATGACCGCTTTAGACAGATGTAGGCCTTCCTCCGCCTACGGTTTAGCGGAAGAAAGCATTCACTATTCACAACCCGGGCGAAATAATTGTTTTTTTTTTTGCCAATCCTGATTAGAACTAATGGGTCTTAATTCTTTGTTTATGTGCTTTTTCGAGATGAAAGAGTTTGCAATTTAGCCGAAATCTGA